TTATTTGAGAGAGAGAGCAGAGTGAGAGAGAACACAAGTTGGAGGGGAGAGGCAGAGGAAGAGGGAGAAGCAGGCCACGTGAAGCCACACCCATTGCTGAGCATTTCACATCTGGGATCTTCACTAATCAGATCCAGGCAGCTTTTGGGGCACCTTGCCTTTTTTTTTTTTTTAAAGATTTTATTTATTTATTTATGTAAGGAGAGAGCAAGAGGAGGGGTAGAGGGAGAAGGAAAGAGAGAATCTCCAGCAGACTCCAAGCTGAGCACAGAGCCTGACTCGGGGCTCGATCTTACGACCCTGAGCTCATGACCTGAGCCAAAACCAAGAGTCGGATGCTTAACCAACTGAGCCACCCAGGTACCCCAGGGGGCACCTTGCTTTTTGTGATGATTGATCCCAGAGCTGACCATCAACCTCTCAGAGGCCTTTTCTGTTCACTTGTCCACTTTAGGTCAATGTATATCAGACTTCTCTCTCCTTCGTGTGGATGTTGCCATCCCATATGACAACAGAAGAGCTCACTCAGCAGGTGTCTCCTAGTGGGTGCTTGCCCAGAAAATCCACTATATGGTGGCACTAACTTCCCCTAAGGCCCTTAGGAAGCTGTCCTTGTCATTAGGGTTGCTCACAAGTATTCCAGTTTTTCCAGGCATGTGGAGACATCTCTGTTCTGCCCCCTTTGAAGTTAGGTCAGGTTATGGATTGGTCAATACAATGTGAGCAGAACTGTCACATGGAAACTCATACCAAGATGGAGCCTCTTCCCTGAGTGACTGGAAGGAGCAGACCACCCCCACTAGACATGCAGCATGAGTAAGAAACAGACCTTTGTTGTTATAAGCCACCCAAACTTAGGTGTTATTTGTTATCGCAACTTAACCTAGCCTATCCTGGCTGATATAGAAGCTATGAACATCTACAGAAATCTAGAAGAGATCGAGAAGGACAAGCAGCGAACAGCCTTCAGGATAGGGAGGAATTTCAGGATAAATGGGCTGCTCCAGCTCCTGAATTCAGTGTGCTCATTCCAAGGTTGCAGATAGTTCTGAAAGTAGGCAAGTGCCCTTCATTCCTTTTTAGCAGTTCCTCTAGATACTGAGTGGTCCGACCTATTTCTGAAACTGGTCTGTAGTCCTACAGTCCAGGCCCTCACAAAGAAAACCGCACCACTGAGTAGTCCTAAGCCATCCACTTCCAAAGTGTCTTAGACAAAATGCATAAATAAGGTTTATGAGCCTGGCACTGGGGTGCTATATATACAGTGTAAGAAATGGTCTTTACCCTCAATAGGCTTATACTGGTTGTCTCAGTTAATGGAGTGGGGCCCATAATGTTTACATTAGAACTGAAGCAAGCTGGGGGGGCGGGGGAGGGGACTGTGTTGAACTGGTGAGTACATGTCTTATCCAAAGGGGCAGCCATTTGCTCAGGTCCACTTGTTTCTTGTACAAGGAACAGGGCCTCAGTATTGCTAGATTTCAGGAAAGTGGAAATCCATTTTTGCAGGAGAAATTTGTTGTTGTGCCAAACTAAGCATACACATCTGGCTGGATTTGATCTGTTTGTGGATGTTGCAGTAGTCCTCAGGATGGGTTCTGGAGTTCTAGGTTTGAATCCTGGCTCTACCACTCATCTGTCTGGGCCCCAGTTTCCTCATCTAGAAAATGGGATTCTACCTCATAGGATTCTTCTGAAGATCGGATGAGATCCTGAAAGCACTGAATTAATATGTGAAGTGGACACCTCATAAAGCTTACAGTAAAGTGAGTCAATAAATGAATTTCATCTGGGAATTACAGGAAGACTTCATTGGGGGCAGTGGCATTTAAACAGAAACCTGAAGGATGAAGAGTAGAGAAGCGAGATGGGGGAAGGGGAAGGACCTAACAGGCAGTGGGAAAAGCCCTTGAGAAAGTCCTGAACAATCATCAAGCCAACGCTAAAGCAGCGAGGACACAGAGGAGACAATCATGTGGGAGCCAAGGATTTCCTGATAAGGTGGGAAATGGAAGGAGCCTCAGTTCAGCCTCAGGCCAGTCCCTGCAAACTTAAGACCCCACTACAATGGCCAGAGTTAATTTCCCCGGACAGAAAAACCACACCCACCAAGTCTTCCGCAGGGCCCTCTAACCCTCTTCTCTCAAACACAGAAGAGAGAGGAGAGCAGGGGTGCTGGCTTGGGGTCAGAAGTGAGTAGTTTTCCGGGCAGAGGAGGAAGATCAAGAAGACAGGTAAGAAGGCACAAAGGTGGGAAGCAGTCTCATTTGCTTTGGCAGCTGAGACGTCTAGAGGGATGCCTCCAAGCCGGGTTGGAGCTCAGGCTGGGCAGGACGCACAACCCACAACTTCAGGCTGAGCAATCTGGCGAGGCTGCAGGACCTCAGTCAAATGGAGAATGGGCGCCCCCTGGGAGCAGTGCTCGGTAGTGGACGCTGGAGGACTCAGATGAGGGGGGCGGGGGGTGGTGGTGGAGGAGGGGGTGCGGCTCAAGATGGGGGCCTACTGCCTGCTACAGTTTTCTTCTCACAGCAGCTAACCCCTTCCGGCATGATGGATTCCTGGGATCCCAGAAGAGCTAGGCAGGAAGGGACCTCGAAAAAGGAACTACCAACACGTGCCCCGTGTCAGGCCCAGAGCTGGGCACTTTCGTGAACATTGTCCTAACACACCTAACTCTACTTGGAGGTAGGTATCATTATCCCCATTTTTCAGATGAGAAAACCGAGGTTTGGTGACTTCCCAAGGAGGGGAGGGGATTTTTTATGACTTCAGAGCCTCTTTCTTCCCTGGCGTCCTCACGACCTGGAAGATACCGATTCCATGAGGTTTGGGGAACAAGCTTTGGGTGTGAGGCGCCCAAGCTTTCCGAGGGGACAACAGCGTGATGGTACTTTCGGCGAGAACCACGCCTCCCTTGTCGCGACAATACTGATTACTGTTGCTTTCCTTTAAAATACGAAGTCCTTGCCACACGCGGAGGCGGACATTATATATTCCTTAGATCTCCCGGACGTCTTTCTCCCTCACCCGCACTGAGCCCCACTAGTGACATAAATTCTCCCCATCCACTAGAGAGTGGAGGCGTGGGACTACAATTCCCGGCAGGTCGTTCAGAAAGAGGTGGTGGCGAGAGGAGGAAAGACACTCTCGCTTTCCGTAGGCTCGCAATTTGGCGTGTCCGCCGTGATGCACATTTCAACAGCCCACGTCCTTTCTCTGGAGAGCTAAGGAAGGGACTACATCCCCCAGCAGGCACTGCCGCAGAGAAAGAGCCATGGGCCGCCATCATCATTGTAGTCCTTTCCCGCGTTTCCACAAGGGAACAGTCTTAGCGCATGGACTACAAATCCCAGGTCGCCGTCTCCCCTTCCCTTCGGCCGCCATCTTTGCTGGTTGTCCCCGCCCCTTTCCCCTTCCATTGTCTCGACCAAAGATAATAGAGCGGAGCTGGGAAGACTGCAACTCCCGTCAGGCTCTGCACCACTGGGAGGGGGATTTCGATGTTTCAGGCGGGCGAGGTGCCCAAGGTGGTAGACTGAGGCGACGGGGAGAGGCCAGGTAGCCTGCCATCTTTATGGTAGTCTCCTTATTCTCGTGGTTCCGCCATTCTTAAGGCACACTAGAAGGCTAGAAAACTACTATTCCCATCGCACCTCAAAAGACCGACTACTAGTCAGGTGTACGCCCCTCTTCCGCCATCTTGCTTGTAGTTCTCGTTCCTTTTCACCTTTCCATTGTTCCTGACGAGTAGAAATGGCAGCGGGAAGGCAGCAGATGGACTGCGACTCCCGTCAGGTACCACACACGCGGAGGGTTGTGGACAGGAGGGCGTGTGAGTGCCTGGGAAGGAGGTCGGGTCGGGGGAGAAGGCCATCTTGTTTGTAGTCATCGTTCCCGCTCCTTCTCTATCCTCTGCAACGGGGAGCCTCGGGGCAACCGGACTATAACTCCCGGCATCCTCGGCTCCCGGCTTGGCACGCCCTCCGCCATCTTCTTTGTAGTCCCCGCTGGCCCCAGCATCCCATTGTTCCCACGGTATCACCAGCGTCCGCAGGACTACGATTTCCGTCGTGCCCTGCGCGTGTTCGTCCTGGAAAGTGGAGGTGGTGGGGAGAGGAGGGGGCAGGGGGCGGGGTTCCTCTGGGAGAAGGAGGGAGTAAAGAGGAGGAGGAGGAGGGAAGGAGGAGGGAGGGGTGGGGGAAGAGAGGAGGAAGGAGGAAGGAGCTCAGGAGGGATGAGAGAGGCGGCCAGGGCCCCGGGCCGAAGCAGCGCGGGGCCGGGGGACCAGGGGGGCTGAGGCAACCCAATTGCCCCCTCCCCCTTTCCCTGCCCCCTTCCATCCTTTCCTTCCACCCTCCGGCTTGAGGAAGGGGATTTATTCAAATTTTATTTAAATCCCTATCTCTCGAGGGTCGCGCGCTGGGGGGAGGGGGAGAGGGCGGGGGCGCGCGCAGGCTGGGGGGGCGGGGCCGGAGCAGCTTCCTTCACCCCCCTCCACTCGCCCGGTAGCCCTAGGGCAGGGGGCCGCAGTCTAGGGGCGGGCCCAGGGGAGGGGGGCAGGTTACAGGGACCCCCCCCTCCCCGGGAACCGGCGGTGGGCGGGGCTTGAACCCCGGAAACGGTGGGGGGCCCAGGCCTGGCCCTGGACCCCTGGGCGGTGGGGGCCGGGAAGGGGCCAGTTAAAGGGCCGGGGGCGCTGGGGAGAGGCGGGGTGGGGGGAGGGGAGCTGTGACTCGGACCCCGGACTGAGTGGGGCCCGGGCAGAAGCTGAGCACCCTGCGCCCGAGGAGCCCCCGTTGGCCTGGGGGGGCTGAGGGACTGAGCCCCCCAGAGCAGGACCTCCCCCTGGAAGGGCCGCGCCGCAGCCCGTGGGAGGGCCTCGCCCCCGGCGCCCCCCATCTCCACTCGCCGCCGTCCCGGCCTCCGCCGGAGGGAGGGGCCGAGCGCCCTCGGGGGGCCGTGGACCCCGGCGTTCTGAGCGTTCCGCGCCCCGCGCCGCCCGGCCCCCCCGCCGCCGATGGCCGCAGACCCGCCGGGAGCTGCCGAGAAGGGAGAGATGGCTCCCGGGACACGTGTGAGGTGGGTTCATGCGGCTCCTCCTCACCCCCAGACCTGGGCAGCTCCCACTCCCATTCATCCTCAGCCCGGCCTCTCTCCACCTTCCCCGCCCCCAGCCTCGCCCTCTCTTTGCTCCAAACTCCTCTCATCTCCAGCCCTCCTTCCTGTTACCTCTCAACCCTGGGGAACTGGCCTTCCTTCCTAGACCCTGCTTCCCCTTGCAGACCCCCATCCCCGCCTGCAGTCGCCGCCCTCCAGGCCCCTCCCCTGGAGCGCTGGAGGGCCCCTTCCCCCCATGGATGGGTCTGGAAGTCCCTGGAAAGGGGGAAGCTAGGGTAAGACTCTGGCCACGAAGAGACCCCCTCCAGGCCTGCTGAGTCTGTATGGGATCTTGGAGGATCTGGTTTCCATGGGAAGGGGAGCCCAAGGGATTCTAGACAATTAGGGATGGAAAAGTAGCCTGGGAAGCTTGGGGGTGGGGGAGAAGACATGTAGGATTGAGCCCATCCTGAGTTCTGTGGAGATGTCAGGGTGGATTCTAGAATCCCAGGGAATCTGGGAAATTGCCCAGGCTGACCTGAGAGATCCAAGAGGAGGATGTCTTGGGGCAGAGGGAGCTCTGTGGGGAAAAGAGCAGTTGCGATCTTGGGCTGAGGAGGGGCTCTGAAGCAGCATGGGGGGGGTGGAGTGTCTCAGAGCCCTGGGGATGGGCGAGGGCAAGCATCCCATTGGATCTGTTGACAATGTGTAGGTTTTGGGGGAAGAGAGATTGGGTGGTAGTTGTGTGCCAGAGAGAGAAAGGAGGGAGGAAGAAAGGTCTAGAGCTTCTACCCAGGAATTTGTGGGTATCTTGGAGGTAAGTCTGGGGGAATTTTAGGTGGAGTGCATTTGGATACCAGGGGAAGAGTTGGGGCCTCTCTAAGGTAACTCCACAAACTAGGAGCCCTGGCTTTCCAAGGAGCTTTGGTGTGGGGATGTCAGTGCAGAGGCCCCAGTCCCTTTCTCCCCCGGCTGGGCAAGGGGATGCTGAGGAAGTGTGAGGAAAGAGGAGTGAGGTCAGGAAGCCAGTTCTCAGGCTCCCAGAGGAGCCAGGTGAGCGCTTTGGAGAGAGGCCTTGAGTAGAGGGAGTGGTGCTCCCTCCCACCCCAGGAGGGACAGTCTCCTTGTTCCTTGTCTCCCCGGGGTAGGAGAGCAAGCTCTGGCTGCCTAGGAATGGGGGGAGCTACCAGGAGTTTCCCAGGCCAGGGCCTTCCCTGACCCTGCTTCCGTTGACCCACAGCCCTCGGCGTTGCTGACGCCCCCAATGTCGTCGAGCAGCCGGGGGCCGGGGGCCGGAGCGCGCCGACGCCGAACCCGCTGCCGCCGCTGCCGGGCCTGTGTGCGCACTGAGTGCGGGGACTGCCACTTCTGCAGAGACATGAAGAAGTTCGGGGGGCCCGGGCGCATGAAGCAGTCGTGCCTGCTCCGGCAGTGCACTGCCGTGAGTTCTGCCCCCAGCCCACCTGACACCCCCGGGGCTTTGGGTGCCCTTCCCCAGCCGGCCCACGAACCTTTCTGGGCTGGCTGCTTCCTGGCACACACTGTAGAGTTGCTGTCTGTTCAGATGTCCACCAGGCCCGTTTTTGTCTCCAGTTGCAAGCGGGGGGTGATGTTAGGGCACCCAGAAGAATCTAACCCCGTGCTTACCTTCACGTTTTTCCCGGCTTCGGAGGCATAGACCCATAGAGAGCTCAGCTCAGCCCCTCTTGTGCTCCTTCCTGGAGGAATCTGTGCACAGGGGCGCGCTTCCGGAGCTGGCCCAAGGGAATAGGTCTTAGCCTTCTCCGGCCTCTTCCCCACCTGCCAGAGGGGTCTCGGATTTGAGGCCAAGCTTACCCTTTGTGTGACCTTGAACAGACACTTTGAACCTCAAGGTACCTTTCCTGTGAAACATTTCCTCTGCTGAGTTGTAAAGATGAAGAAAGAGCGTGGATGTGAGTGTGCCCAGCACACAGTAGGTATCAGAGAACATGGGTTTCTTCTTTTGAGCCCCCTTTGTGGCCCTTCTCCAGCAGCCTTGAGGAGCCAGCTGCATCCTGCACCCCCTCCTGGAGGACCGCCACCTCCTTTTTCCTCCAGCCCCTCTGCTGCCTCTTTACCCTACAGCTCCCCTCTTCTCTTTCTTTGACCTCCAACCCTTGCCTCACTTTCCTTTTCCTCCTTTCCCTACCTCTTTTTTTCCTTGGGCCTGTCTCCCAACCTTCAGCATCCCTCACATGACTCCATATTACCCTGTTCCCTCCACTAAAGTCAAGTTGTCTGAGGGCTGCTCTCCCCTAGGACCAGCCAGCTGCCTTTAGCATGCCCAGGAGTCTTGCCAAAACCTGATTCATTGTAGGGTCCAGAGCAACCCTTGGGCTGCCCATTGTGCAAACTCAGAATCATCCCAAGCTGCCGCCACGTCCCCTGCAGCTCTCTCTTTCAACAGTATTGTCCTGTTTGCCATGGTTTCTATCCTTCCCCAAAGCCAGCAACAGTTTCAGGGTCACACACACAGACCCTGACTCCAGCTGCAACATTTGCAACAGCGATAACAACTATGTATCCAGTGCCTCCCCGAGTGATCTCATTCTTCCAGAGGTCTTGCAAAGGAAAAATGCCTAGCCCCATTTTACAGGTGGAGAAACAGACACCAAGGAGGTTAAACCACTTGCTCAAGGTCATACTGCCAAAAAGGAACGAATTCAAGATTTGACCTAGCTTGACCCATGGGTTCTGAACCTCACCCAGCAGCTGGCCAGGCTCCCCAGAAGAAAGGGTCTTCCCCCTGTCTCTTGCTTTCGGGGTCCCTAATACTCCCTCTTCCCCAACAGCCCGTGCTCCCACACACAGCTGTGTGCCTCTTGTGTGGGGAGGCTGGGAAGGAGGACACAGTAGAGGGAGAGGAAGAGAAATTTGGTTTGAGCCTCATGGAGTGTACAATCTGCAATGAGATCGTCCACCCTGGCTGCCTGAAGGTGATGGCCCTGGGGGCCCTGGAGTCTGAAGGTGATGGCCCTGGGGAGCGCTGCCTCTGGGTTTACTGGCACCCTACATCCACTCCCTGCCCTCTGCCTACAGATGGGGAAGGCTGAGGGTGTCATCAATGCGGAGATCCCTAACTGCTGGGAGTGCCCTCGCTGCACCCAGGAAGGCCGGACCAGCAAGGTAGGGGTAGGGGCTGGGCTGGGTGCTGGGTTCTGCGTAGACAGTGGGTTGGGGAGCTGGAGAGAACCTCAACCCCAGCTTCCATCTCCCCAGGATTCAGGTGAGGGACCAGGCCGCCGCAGGGCTGACAACGGCGAGGAGGGTGCCAGCCTGGGGAGTGGATGGAAGCTGACGGAGGAGCCGCCGCTTCCCCCACCCCCACCCAGGCGCAAGGGCCCCTTACCTGCTGGGCCCCCCCCAGAGGACGTGCCTGGGCCCCCCAAAAGAAAGGAGAGGGAGGCAGGGAATGAGCCCCCCACCCCAAGGAAAAAGGTGAGCCAGGGAGCATGCTCATTAGGTCCAGCCCAAGGGATTCTGGGAACGGTAGTGTAGTTCCTTTTTGGGGAGGGTGGGCCTGGGAGGCTGCGCTCTGTGGGTTCTCCAAGGGGTTGTTGGGGGATGTAGTTTAGGAAATGTTGGGCGGGGAGGGTGGAGCACGCTCGGTAGGGAGGAGAGGTACAGGTGAGGGGCAACTGGCACTGGGCAGGGAAGCTTTGGGAGCCCTGGGTGCTTCAGGTAGGAGGGAGAGAGCATGCTCAAATTAGCTGCTACCGAGGAGGAAGGAGGGGCTGGAAAGGGCCTGAGGGGGAAGAAAGAGAAGAGGAGAGCATGCTCAGTGAGCCAAGACACTGGTTGGAAGGTGAGCATGCTCAGAGTTCTTCCCTGAGATGCGGGCTTCTGGGATTTGTAGTCTAAGAAGCGAGCATGGATCTTAGTTTTGTGGACAATGAGGGGCTAATGGGGCCTCTCCCTTTCCCCATATTTCCCTCTTGCTCTGGTAGGTGAAAGGAGGCCGAGAGAGGCACCTGAAGAAGGTGGGTGGAGACGCCTGCCTCCTCCGAGGATCGGACCCAGGCGGCCCCGGCCTTCTGCCCCCCAGGGTTCTGAATCCGAGCCAGGCTTTCTCATCCTGCCACCCTGGGCTCCCTCCCGAGAACTGGGAGGTGTGCCGGGGACCTCCACCCTCCCCCTCCCATCTTTCCTTGCCCTACCCTCCACCCTGGAGACAGAGATCTGTCCCTTCCTGCTCACCTTGTCCTGCCCCTGCCCCATTTGGCCACAGTGGCATCTGGACCCCTGGGAAGAGTGGAGGGGGAGAGGTGGGTTGGGGCCAGCCCACAGGACTTTCCAGGAACCCCTCGGGTCTCATCTGACCCATTTGCGTCATCTTTCCAAACCTTAAAGGGAAAAGAACTGAGTTCAAATCCCTGCCCACTGACTCCCTGTGTGGTCTTGGCAACTTGTCAGCTGCTCTGAGCCTCGGTTCCTCATCTGTGAAGGAGAGGATACTACCTATCTTATCCACCCATCCCACAGAACTGTTTACATCTAATGAAAGTAAATGAGATTTGTGAACTGTGAAATGTACTTAGATTTGAGGAAGATGAGGCCCAGAGAGGTTAAAAGACTTGCCCAGGGTCCCACAGCAGAGCTAGAATTCAGATGTCATTTTGCACTGACACATGAATGCAAGGGTCTGCCTGATTGTGTTCAAATCCTGCTTCTGCCATTTGTCAGTTTGTAACCTTGGGCAAGTCACTCAGTCTCTCTGAGCCTCAGTTTCCTCGAGTGTAAGAAGAGTGGTCCAGGTTGCCACTCCGTTGGAGCACTGTGAGGATGTGAGTCCGTGAGTATGAGGTGCTCTGTCACTCTCACATTGTTGAGTAGACACTTGGAATCACCTAGTCCAGCGTTCTGTGTTGTAGATGATGAGGCCGGGGCTTCCCAAGGTCACACAGAGAGGTGGTAGCCGAGCCGATACTCAAAACGACATCTCTAACTGTTCTCCGTATTTCACTGCCTTTGGAAACTCATAAGCTATTGAAACCTGGAAGGCTTCTAATTCTTTGAATCAGTGCCTTCACGTGACAGATAAGGAGACTGAGGTCCAGAGAGGGACATGATGCGGCTGAGGCCTCACGTCGTTCAGGGGCAGAGCCATGGCTGGAACCCAGGACTGTCTCTCGGGCTGCTCATCCCCTGCTGACTCCTCAGGGCAGGGAGGTGGGCAAGTGCGTGCCAGGCCCTAGAACAGCCTCCCCCCATCTCCTTGCAGAAACCAAAGCCGCCTTTGGCCTCTGCTGAGGGCCCGGCAGTGCCATCCCCGTCCCCACAGAGGGAGAAGCTCGAGCGTTTCAAGCGCATGTGCCAGCTGCTGGAGCGGGTCCCTGACACCTCCTCGTCCTCCTCGGACTCGGATTCCGACTCTGACTCTTCAGGCACATCGCTCAGTGAGGAGGAGGCCCCTGGCGAGGCCCGGAATGGGCGACGGCCAGCCCGGGGCAGCTCGGGCGAGAAGGAGAACCGCGGGGGGCGGCGGGCTGTGCGCCCCGGCAGTGGGGGGCCCCTCCTCAGCTGGCCCCTGGGCCCCGCCCCACCGCCCCGGCCCCCACAGCTGGAGAGGCACGTGGTCCGGCCCCCACCTCGAAGCCCTGAGCCCGACACGCTGCCTTTGGCCGCTGGATCCGACCACCCGCTGCCCCGAGCCGCCTGGCTTCGTGTCTTCCAGCACCTCGGGCCCCGAGAGCTGTGCATTTGCATGCGAGTCTGCCGGACTTGGAGCCGCTGGTGAGTGGCCTGGACGGGCCTAGGTTCCCACTTGCCGTATGACCTGCGACAGCCAGTTTTGATCTCTCTGGGTCCTGTTCTTACGTTGATCATACTCCTGTAGTATGGATGTTTTCTAGTCTGATACTTCCGTATTTGCTGCGTGCAAAGCCACTTTCCGTTGTTGGAGCTCATTTAACTCTCATAACAACTTTGTGAGGGTAGGTCCTATTATTCCTTTTTTTTTTTTCTTTTTTTTTTAAAGATTTTATTTATTTATCTGAGAGAGAGAGAATGAGAGAGAGCACATGAGAGGGGGGAGGGTCAGAGGGAGAAGCAGACTCATTGCCGAGCAGGGAGCCCGATGCGGGACTCGATCC